ATGAAAAGAAGACCACTTTGGTCAAGGAAATGCATGCTAAGGCTAAAGTTCATAGAGACATAAAAAGGAGGAATAAACAATATGCTGACCATGTGACCAAGAGAAGGAAAAGGATAATATTTGTGCCAGGTGATTGGGTTTGGGTACATTTTCACAAGGAAAAGTTTCCCAACCAAAGGAAGATTAAGTTTGATGAACGTGGAGATAGACCATTCCAAGTCTTGGAGCACGTTGATGAACCATTCCAAGGTCTTTGTGAGGACGTTGATTGACAACAGCCTACAAGATAAGACTTACCATGTGAGTACTGGTGTCTTCCGTTACTTTCAATGTTAGCTGATTATTATTCTCCTTTGACATGGATGCAGATCTGAGGACAAATTGCTTTTTAAACGAAGGAAGGGGATGATTACGATCCACCCTATCACTCATCCATTGGAACTCAAGGGAACAAGGAAGAACAACATGAAAAATCCATTAGTGCTTCCTAGTGGCGATCAACTACAAGATGTCAATAGCAAAGGAAATAACTGGAGCAACCATGGAGCTCAAGAGAGCATGGAATACCTCAACTTTTTCTAGACTTACAGATCTTTTCCGAGAACGTCTTTCGAGGAAAGGAGGAATGATACGATTCTCACTCACATACTCAACCATAGAGCTTCAAGGAAGCATTGAGAACACCTAAGTTTCTCACATTGATGGAAGGCACATGTGAGACGGAATCTGAAATATCCAGCATGATTACGCACGCACCTTGGCCATACTAGAGCTAGCTTTGGCAGCGCGATAAATAAGTAGTCTCAATTTTTGTTGTTTTGAGTTTGTATGTTGTCTAATGGGGTTGAGCCATAATAAATTGGGCCACCCTTTTTATTTTTGTCCTTAGTTGGGTTTGTGATTTAAATTATTCTCTTATCCTTATAGTTTCGGTTTGGACTTTAATATATTTCCTAAGATATCCTATGTTTGTTCCTGGAATTTAGGTTATTCCTACTCATCCTTAGTTGGTTTGGATTAATTATTCCTTATCCTTATACGTTTGGTTTTAGATTGAATCCTACTTTCCTTATCATAGATTTGTTTTAGATTTACGCTCATCTTTAGTTGATGTTGGATTTAGTATAAACCAAATCCTTACAAGTTGTTTGATTTGCTAAGTCTTATCCTTAGTTGGTTTAGAATTTGCTTTACAATCCTAATCCTTAAGCTGGATTTAGATCTAACTACTTCTAAATCCTTCTAAGGGATCCTGACCCTTCTTTCAGAAATTAGTATAAATAGTCTTGCTATGTTTCTGTTAACTTATTCCAACATACAATTTAAACTCAATTGAAATTAGACTTCTTTTCATGCTTTTGGCGCGTGCCCCAAGCATTCCACGCTGTTCATCTGCTTTTATGAGGGGTAGTGGCTCTTGAGATTGCATTCTTCTAATTGCATCAGAATTCAAGGTTAATAAAGCTTATCAATTTCATTGTGGCGTTTAATCTTATTCTTTTACTCTATTATTGGCTTTCTTGCTTCTTTATAGGCCTTTGGGTGCCATTGAGGGGAGTTTAGTTTGATCTTGATCTCTCTCCAAAACCTTGTCATAAAGTTCATGGAATTTATTTCCGTAGGGGCGGGGGGATTTCCGAGTTTTGGGTGCCATAGAGGGGAGTTTAGTTTGATCTTGGATCTCTTCCAAAACTTGTCATAGAGTTCATGGAATTTATTTCCATAGGGTTCCGCGTCACCTCGCAACCCCGCGACTTAAACAACTCAGCACAGTAATCCACGATTAAGTCCTCCAAACCTTGTCCCTTTTCGCACCATACCCCACTACCATTTTTGAGCGAATGAAAATAATTTTCCTTTTCGAAGAAGACGCTTGAGCATGGAAGTATTTTGAGTTCAAATCACCCCCCTTTAACCAGAAATGTTTTGACCTTTGCTTCTAATAATTTTTCGTAGTGTCCAATAAATCATTATACTATTTCTGTATATTCACAAATTGTAACTGAGTAAGCGTCCCTTTTCGAACAAAGAGAGGCTAGCTGCTTTTTTAAGCGAAAAAGCTGAAGTCAATGACTCTTCAGTAACCCTCCGCCCCAAATTTTCAACATCTAACCACACCCCTCAATTTTCTCAATTAATGAGAGGGACACATTCAAAACTTAGTATCGTTGGATCTGTCTTGAGCATTCCGGGTCCTCCAACCAAATATTCTCAAAACAGAAACTGCGGTGGCCATTCATGGGGGTATGAGCCGATGAGATCACAAAGGGGAGTGATATGATTCCAATGGATTGATATTACAAACCTTCCAATCCTTAAAAGCATCTACCCATGAAGCTGACACCAACACCCTATCCAACCGTTCTTCTACACATAAAGGGGTGCCCTGACCTCTCTCCCATGTAAAAGGATGGCCTTCCATGCCCAGTTCAAAATAACCGCTTGATTGAACAGCTTCTTGAAAAATATTTATCAGCCATTACGGTTGAGGGTGCGGGCCCTTATTCTCACTAGATAGAAGAATGTCATTGAAATCGCCCAGGCAACACCAAGGAAGGGAGGATCGTTCTTTAAGGTTTTTTAAGAGGTCCCAAGACTCTGGCGAAGGCGGTGCTCTGGACGTCCATAAAACCCAGTAAGGCGCCAAAGAGGTTGGTGAGGCAACGAGATTGACATATCTATATGTAAGCGGTAATAGCTCCATAGCTTGGTTGAGTTTTTTATTTTCCATATTAAGGCAAGCCCGGTGCTTTGCCCTACAGGATCCACTACAAAACTACCTTCAAAATTTAAAGCCCTACGAATGACATCCAACCATGAGCGGCTTATTTTAGTTTCAATAAGGAAAACAAAGATGGGCTTGTGGGTGCAAACCAAGTCCTTTAAGACTCAAACTGTAAGTGGATTGCCCAGACCACGATAGTTCCAGCTTAGGCCTATCATAATGACAAGTGGGCCTGATGCACAAGAGCCATCTAACAGTTTAGGCTTTTGACAGCTAAAGTTAAAACATTACTTCCCTAACCACCAACTATCCCTTGGGCCCCTTCATCCAACCTCCTCTGCTTAGAGTCCAAAGGGCTAGGCCCATATTGTTCTTGTTTGGAAAGCCCAATACGTTCCCATCACCCACATACCCCTGTTCTTAATCATGCAGATTATGTGGCCTTATATAAGAAGCATGAGTTGCTTTCCCACGATCTCCATCCTACCAACGTGGAGCGAGCCAAGCAGAACCCTCAATCCTTGGTTCCTATTGTTGACAACCGTCTCCGTTGTCTGTGCCTCAATGGTAACTGACGGAGTTTCGTTTCTCAACCGCCGATCTCCCACATTCCCAACTGTTCTACGAGTCGAGACTCGCATCTCCGGACCAAACAGCCTACGGTAAGGGATTCTTGGGTTTGTATTTTGATCACAGAAACATTCAGAGTGCCTTATAGTTCCACAGACAAAATAAAAGCTTAGCAATCTTTCATACTTGAATTGAATCCATAGCCAGTCGTCACCCGGCTTTTGCACCTGTATTTTACTCTTCAACGGATTACGCACATCAAAAAGGACTCTTATGCGCATGAAGCTCCGCCATATTCCTGAGAAATTTCCTATGTCAGCCTCCACAAATTTGCTCACATAGTCCCCGATAGCCCGAGTGACCTCCTCCTTCATCAAACTCTGTGGGAGATCATGAACTTGGACCCAGAAAAAAGATTCGCGCAAGGGGACATTTTGCAGTTGTTCGTCCAGGTCAATCCTCTTTGTTAATAACAAACTATTGTCAAAACACCACAGGCTTATGGCCAGCATCCTGGACATGTCAGCTTCAAGGAAAAACTGGAAGAGAAACCGACTTCACGAATGCTAACCCCATTCGCAGGACGCCATGGAGATGCCAATGTCTGCTTCATAGCATTAAAATTTATAGGCCTATCAGTGAGGAATCGTCCTACTAATATGAAATCATCCCTCCCCAAACCGTGTTCTACAGTATCGGTCCCAAAAATCAGCCCTCCCACTCCCCCCTCCTCACAAATCAAGAGATGAACCAAACTGTTAGCGATGTCGCCCGAGTTTGAAGATCCTCCGGTTATGGTGGAAGCAAAAGAGAAACGAGGTAAAACAAAAACAACTACCTCACCAGCGTGCGAGACTAACCCTTGTCAGAGAGAACCAGACTTACAAAAATTGAATTTTCAAAGTTGGATAATATGTTTGAAGGATCCTCGGTTATGAGTGGAAGCCAAAAGAAAACGAGGTAAAACAAAAACATACTACCCTCCACCATGCGTGCGAGACTTAACCCTTGTCAGAGAGAACCAGACCTTACAAACAACTTGAATTTTTCAAAGTTGGACTTATATATAGTAATATATATACTATATTATATATATAGTATATATATACTATACTTATAATATATATTTTCTTTGTGAGAGATTTTCAGTATTATAAACCTTAATTAGTTGATTTATACTTAATATTTCTTTGTGAGAGATTTTAGTATAAACCTTAATTAGTATGATTTATATAATCATACTCGTAACAATTTCCACTGCATGTTTTTTACGAAAAAAAAAAGTGTCAAGGAAGAGAAACTTGAAATCAAATTTTAACTACAATTTGGCTTAACCTATATGTACATTTGTTATTAAATATATTACCATATTATCAAATATGGAACCATGGCTCTTAATATTATAAGCGAATAATATTTTTTTAAACTAATTTTAATATGATAGGACTACATTAAAGTCAAATATATTTAATAAAATAATTATAGACGATAAAATGTAAAAATTTTTATAAACTATAAGATTAAACTTCATTTTTTTTGAAAATGATAAGGTTAAACTTTAATTAGCATCGATTTCTTTAAAAGAAAACTAAATAAAATGATCCTATGTTATTGAATGTTGATTTGAGTTCATGAAAGAATTAGATATAGATAAATAGATATAAATAAGAAAAAAATTCAAAAATTTAAAAGTGATATACTAAAATAGAAGAAACGAATGCTTTTGTCTAGAATGCACAGAAAACTTGGAAGTAGAAGCACATAGCAGCTATTCGAGCTGTCCCTACATCTAGAAATTCATGCCATTATCTTGGCTGACCTCACATACAGGCTATCGACAACCTTGCCAATATTGGAAATAGTCTCCAATGTTGCTGGGTAGATTGCATCTGTCTTGGGATCATCAAAAATGATGAGGCATCCAGCACCCTGGTCCAAAGTTCCGGCAAACTTCTTATCCAGAATCATCTGAGACAGTTTCTTCTCTACATGATCTATAGGCAATTCAATTAGGTCAGCTACATGAGCAATCTCAACCCTGGAGAAAGGCTCAATCAACCGGCAGAGGTTTTGTTCCAATAAAGTGTCGTACAGGGAAGAGAGGTGACGATGAACGATCGGATCTTCTTCAAGTTGGGCATTGTAACGCTGGAGTGCAATCTCAAATAGCTTCAGGGAGCGTTTTGCATGAGCATCAGCAACAGCTCTCATTGCATCCAGCTCAAGCCCTGCATATTTTACCCCTGCCTTGGCTGATATTATTCCTGCAACATCATCAGCTTGGTTCACCATTATTTTGCATAACAACATGTATTTAAGGCTATAAACAGCTTGTTTATCATCAAGAGCACTGAAAGCTTCAAATGCTTCAAAGAAGTAGCTGTATGCAGTTTTATAATCCTTCTCTTCTGCATGAAGGATCCCACTCTGCAAATCAATAGTTCCCTGCTGAGCTGGTGGAACATAAATCGCATTGGCTGCTGTTCTTGCTGCAGTCAGAGCAGCCTTGGCTTTGGGGAGATTTCTTAGAGAAAAATGAAGCTTGCTTTCCAGTATGTTTATGTCCACAAGAAGAAGCTTATCATCCAGTCGTCTCACCTCCTTGATTAGGCCAGAAAGGAGATTCAGTGCCTCCGAGTACTCCTTCGTTTCCATCAATAGAGACGCAAGCCTTGCTTCAACTCTCTGCCGTAGAAAAGTTCGCTTCTCAGTACGGGTCCATTGCACCATTTCTTTGCAAAGAGAAATCTGGAGATCAGATGTGTTTGGTATTTTAGATACTGCATCAATTATCCCCCGAACAATTTTAGCTGTTTTTGCCTTTGGAATCAAGGCAAAAAAGGGCCTTAATTGGGTTAGAAGGCTTCGAAGCTCCTCTGCCCGCTGCTCTTCTTTGAGGAGATCTGAGAGATTGGTGATAGCCTGTTCCTTGATCCTTATAGATTCAGGAGAAGAGGATGGGTTCTCTAGTATGCGGTAATAGATAGAAATTGATTCAGTTGGGGTTTTTGCTTCTAAAGCCTGAGCAATTGAATCAGTAGTTGCAGGGAGATAGGATGTTGACATTGTTGATGCTTTGGAATGTCTATCCTGCAGAATCAGTAATTAACTTAAAATGTCTGTCCTGCAGAATCAATAATTAAATTGACATGTCTTATCTTGCATCAAGCACTAATTAATGATAAATGTAGGAGAGAAAAAAGCATATGAATGTCTAAAGAAAGTAAAACATGTCAAAGATGCCCGATGCAATTTCAACTCATTTTGACATTGTAATTTGATTACTTGATGTCGTTAAACCTGCCATGGTTCCATTACTAGATTCATCACGGAACAAAACTAACATTCTCAAGAAACCTTTTTTTTTTTTTTTTTTTTTTAACATCGTCAAAGATGCCCGATTTTGCAATTTCAAACTTCATTTTGACTTTGTAATTTGAGTTACTTCGATGTCGTCTAAACCTGGCCTGGTTTCCATTACTAGATTTCATCACGGAAACAAAAACTAACATTTCTCAAGAAAACCTTTTTTTTTTTTTTTTTTTTTTGGTTTTTTTTTTTTTTTTTTTTTTGGTGTGTGCAGAGTTGGCAATGGGTCGCCTAAAATGCACTACTGAACCAGAATCTGTTTATAATAAAGTGCCCAAACCCTTCCCAAACCCATTTGAAATTTTCATATGCATTATCTGAACCTATCTCAAACCCGATTACAATTACCTGTATGCTAGCCAAACCCAAAGCCCATTAAACATCCGTTTAACTAAAATGAAAAAACCAAACCTACAAGAACAAACAATTCAACAGGTAGCTCATTTGTCTTTAGCTATGCTTTTAACAGGTTAGAAACAAACTGGATACGCATTGCAGGCCAAACAGATATTTTGCATTTATATTAAAATAAATAAATAAGAAGCTCCAGATAATTGAAGGCAATGACTGCAACAACAACATATTTGATAGAACAATCAAAATTTATCACCATTGAAAAGTAACTAAACAACAGAAAAGGCATGTAAGATTTGCAGAAACGAGAAACAAAAGGTTACAAGCAATCAGATTCAGATCTTACCGTAAAACACATTGTATAATTGAAAAAACAAAAATGTTGAAACAATTTGATGTAATGAGTTAACACAAATAACAATAAGACCTTTTTCTATCGAAATTGAGATTGAAACAAATGTCAATTCTTTGATATTGCAGCTCTTTGTATATAATCTGGACAGAGTGGTGATTTATTGTTGGTTATAGTTAAAGAAAAAAAAATGTAACGTACAGTGTAGTTTCTATTGAAAACTAATTCAAATGGGAAAAGAAAACATTGGGATAACACAGATAGCGGCTAGAGATTAAGAAAGAAGTTTGCTCATTGAGGAGATGTCTCAAAGAGAACAGAGATGGCCGGTAACTTATTGAGGAGAAGTTTGCTTTTTAAGGAGATGAGGTGGTGGGTAGTGTTTCAATGAAAGAGATAAAGATGAAGAGAGCTAGAGTCAGGTGCCCCCTGAAAGAGATAAAGGTACCTGAACCCGTCCAAAACCTGTTTAAAATTCCACTTGCATTACCCAAATTTGTCCCTAACCCGATTACCTTCCAGTGTACTACCTGAACCCCTTATGAATACCCATGTAACACAAAATGGACAACAAAAAAGATACCTGAACCTGTATCAATACCCCTTTAATGCCTGAAGTGTATAAAAACGACTACAAAAGATTCAAACTAAATCCATATAAAACATAAGCAAACCAATATTTCAACAAAAAAAATTACACAATCAAAATCCACTAAAACACAACAAAACTGAAATAGAATACAAGAAATTAGGGGAGAATTGATTCTTCACATAAAAATAATCTTTAGACTCGATTTCCCAATATCCAAGATTGCAAGAACCATCACTTGAATAAAAAAGCTTCAAAAATAAATAAATCAAGAGGCACAAAAAAATAATCAAAGCAATTATTTTCTCAATATAGAACTCCACTCTCTCTCTCTCTTATTGTAATGAAAGCATGTATTAATTATATCGTTCAAGTATATATTTACATTAAAATGTAGAATCACTTTTCAATTTGGGAGAAAGACAAAGAAGCTAGTCATAAATTCATAATAATGCTTTCCTTTTACACAAACAGCATAATTCCCAGTTGCTAGGGACAAACAAACCTATAAAAATTAAAGATCCTAATCTCTTCTAATGAAATGCCAATGTGCCAAGCCAAAAAATGAGTAAAACATCATCAGGTATGAGTGGTCCACGCCATAGCCATTAGAATACCTCTGCAATGACCACCATCATTCATAATTAATGAAGGCCACAATCAATCTCAATGAATTTTGTCCATTCATAAATCATAAAAGTAAATAGAGGATGAAAAATGGATGTCTACCACAAACCCAATTGATATTTTCCTTTTTCTTGTAAAGTAATGAAAACCATTCCAAGTTATAAAAAGACAAAAATCTAGAAGTTATCAATAATGAACAAAGAACTTGGAGGCTTATTTCTTACAGTCATATCACAGAAACAGAAGAACGAGAACCTAATGTAATAGCACAAAAACCAACAAGAGATAAAAATTCCTTTTCTGGTCTGTGTAAACCAAAGAAAAGACTAATTTTACCAGTCATCTATTTACTTCTTTTTATCTTCTCTAAATCATATTAGCCAATTATGCACCATCTTTTCAACTAATTAAGTTTTTTTTTTTTTTTTTTATCTTTTCAAATATATGGTGTTTTCTGATCGAATCAAGAGGTGCACAGAAATAATCAAAGCCCATTATTTTGATTTACTAATTGTTTGCATATAATTCATTTTAACAACTTAAAATTACCTCTTTATTTTTTCCAATTCAATTCAGAAATTTTATCTTTTATGCCAATCCAAGCTACTCCAGCATTTAAAATGACATCAATTAAATAACAATTTGCTAAAATGACATCATTTAACTAGCTATTAATAATTATAACAAAAGTGCACAGAACAATGTTAAAAAGTTAACAATTACACAAACAGAAGCAATAAACATAAAAACATAAGATCGAACAGGTTAGGTACGAAAGAACTTGCATAGACGCCAGTAGATATTCTTTTGATTTCAGAGGAACTGTTATTCATTACGCACTGCAAAAAGTGACCATTCATAGTCACAATAGTATGCTAATTTACAGCCAAACATTCTGTTGATTTCATAGCAAAACCCTAAGAAATTCCTCAAATTGTCTACGACCATTTCACTTTATCAGATCAACAGCCATTTACACCTACAAAATCAAACCAAAAATTCATTTACGGAAAAGAAAAAATAAATTACCTTACCACTGCTACTTGCGAGCCTTGCGAGCCACAGATTCAATCTTTACATGAAAGATGCCCCTTCTTGGAGAAGACGGCCGTCAGATTCAATCTTGGATGAAAGGCAAGGGCAATGCGGCGATAAGAGATGTAGGCAACGAGATGAGAATTGGAATTGGAAGAGTGTGATTAGTGCCTTTCTTTTAAAATTCTACAATTCTACAAGAAAACGACGTAGTTTGATGTGAAGCTTATTTTGATGGCAAAAGTAGTTATTAACTTGTAGGGGTGAGCATTGGGTTTAGCTGATTCGGCCAATTTGATGAATTCGGTTAATTTAGCAAAATCAATTTGATGAATAAATATTTGATTAAAAATTCATTTAAAGAAAATTTAAAATTTTTGTTAATTGGTTTAAAGCTCGGTTAGAAGTTAATTTAATCGAATTAATCAAAGTAACCGACTCTCAAACTACGTCGTTTTGATTCAGTAGGTAATAAAATTAAAAATTAAAAATATTTTAATTTTAAAATTTTGTTAATGGTTTAAAGCTCGTTTAGAAAGTTAATTTAATCGAATTAATCAAAGTAACCGACTCTCCAAAAAACTACGTCGTTTTGAATTCAGTAAGGTAATAAAATTAAAAAATAAGTTAATTTAATCGAATTAATCAAAGTAACCGACTCTCAAACTACGTCGTTTTGATTCAGTAGGTAATAAAATTAAAAATTAAAAATATTTTAATTTTTATTTTGATTAAGTAGTGATTAATAACTTCAGCTAATTTTTATTTTGGTTAAAAATCAATTAATCATAAATTTCGATTATATTTAAGTTAAATTTCGGTTAATTAAGTTTTTATTTTATTTAACTTCGATTCAATAAATAATCAAATTCTGCCAAAACGATTCATTCAAGTTTGGTTAGAAAATTAGTTCAGTTAAATTCGGTTAAGTCAAAAAAAATTTCAATTATTTTATTTCGGTTAAAAATGTTAGTGAAATTGACCGAATTGACCGAATGCTCACCCTATTAATTTGTAGATGTTGCAAACTATTTCGTATGCTCTCGTGAGCATGAGTTGTTCACTTCCCTTTTCTCAGCCCGAAACCCAAATTTTTTTGTTCATCTCGAACATGGATACTCCTATGGAGTCTCTATCTTTGTTAAAGGATGAAGGTTTTTGAGTGAATGGTAGTCCTTTAATATTGAAGCCTACATATGAATATTACCTTCTTGGAATCTTCCATATGTCAAACTTTATTCCTTTTTTTGTCCATGAGAAATATGTTTGTAGATGAAGGGATCTTCGTTTCATTTTAATATATATTTTTTTTTTCATCGAATAAAGGAGGGGAGGATCATGTAAGTACTGTGCCTTTATTTTATGTTGATTATTAGAAACAAGTGCATGATTTACCTTTATGTTTTATGTTAGAGGCCATTGTTAAACTGCATGAAAATTTTGTTAGAGAGTTTGTAGAATATGATGCTCGAAGCATGTCTTCATTGAACCCTAATTTTATGAGAATGAGGATTAGTTTAAATCTCCAACAACTGTTAAGATGGAGGAAGAAATTGATTATGCCAAGTAGAGAAGCCTTTTTGTCCAATTTCGATACATGCGTTTAATAATTTTTTGCTACCTATGAAAATTTGGCCACTCTGATAGCTTTTGTGAATTATGATTACATCAGAAAAAGGAAAAATTGCAATTGTAATGGAATAATAGAATTAGGGTTTTGTCGTGCCATTCAATATGAAAATTTAGTGGTTTGTTGTGAGACGATACTAAGAATCTCCTTCCTAGTTCATAGTCAATAATTATGGATGGTGATTAGGTCAACCCTAACAACTCTTATCACTAGAATCAAATAAGGGATTCATTCACACTAGTGACATGCATGGCAATTAAATAATGGGTAATATGGGCCAAATGGAAGTAGACTCTATGACTTTGGGTCTAAATAATGAGAAGTTGGATTGACTAGAAGAGGAAGGTATTTCTAAATCTGAGGATTTGAAGAAGAGGCCTAGAAGAATAAATAAAACATCTCTAAAAGTTTCTTTGAATAAAGATTCGAATGGAGTTTCTTCTACAGTTTCATCGGCTGGTCTTGGTAATATGACAACCGTTTCCAATGAGGATCTTAAGCTAGAACTGTCGAGGACTCGGCAATCCTCGGACAGTTTGCGCTCTCAAAGAGCTTTCCTTGAACTATAAGTCATATGTTATTTTTCTCATTGAAAATCTAGCCCACGAGGAACGATAGAAGTTAGGAGCAATATTGATTTTGATAACTATTTTTCTGTTGATTATGTTGGTAGAAACGACGAGTTGGCATTGTTTTGGAAGAGTGATTTGTCTCTTCAAGTCACTAGTTACTCTAAAAATTTTATAGATTACAATGTTAATTGAGACAATAAAATGATTAGGATTTATGGTTTCTATGGAATTCGAGAAATGCATAAAAGAAGCGTTTCTTAGAAACTTTTACATGCGTTAGCGAATATGGATAATAAGCTTTAGGTTTGCTTAGGAGACTTTAATGATCTTCTTTGGCAAGAGGAGAAGGAAGGAGGTAAGCTGCAACCTAATTTTTTTAGAACAAGGTCTAGAGAAACTATAGATGACATTAACTTTATTGAAATTCCTACGTTGGGGCCTTCTTTCACTTGGGATCAAAGACGTGAGAATATGGTTATAATTATGGAGAAGTTGGATAATGTTTGCTAATGAATGGATCTCAATTTTTTCCAATAGCCATGCTCGTGTCTTAGCTACTCCTGTCGGATTATAGGCCTATTTTATTTCAGAATTATCTAATGCAGCGCATCGGTTATTTAAGTTCGATAACTCCTAGTTATTGATAAGGACATTAAGCAGGTTGTGAAGGAGGGTTGGGTTGAGAACTCTTTTAGCCTCATCTCTTTCCAAAAAATGGATTTTAGGACAACCTTTAAAATACTATTGGAAATGAAACAAAAATATCTTTCTAATGACTTATTATGAGCAAAAATATGGGTTGAATTGAGCCTCGAACCACGGCACAAAGTCACTGCACACTAAACTATAGGTCAACCTAGCAGACAGAGGTAACATTTCCTCACTCTTTTGGTCATAAATTTCTCCCAAATGCAATGTTAGCACAAAACTTGTACCATTGGAACTTAGAAGGAAATAAAGGTATTTTATAAATCAAAATCTGGACTAAAATGGGCCCCAAACAACAGGTACAAAGTCACTGCTCAATAAAAGAACTAAAAAAAAAAAATCTCTCTTTACTCTTTTAAACATATCTTGAGCTAAAGATTGAATTTTTGGGTTATTCAAGTTGAATTAGAAACTAAATATCTAGAACATTCTAATGATATATCATGACCCAAAATCAAAGTTGAATTAGGCCTCGAATTGTCCAAATCAAAATATTAAACTAAACAAGACCTGTTGACCAACCAGGGGTCCCGACTGTTGATGTGTTTGATTAGAAAAATGATTAGAAAGCCTTATTCTGCAACCTTTTTACCCAAAAACACCCGAATCCCAATTGCTTAGCTAAAACTCTAACCCCCATTCTCCTAGCCTATAAATACCTTCACCCCTTCCCCTCCAAAAATCATCTTCGCACTCACAATAATGGAATACATACTTGAGCAATATAAGTAACCTCATTAAAAGATGCATTTGCTCTAATTTTTTTATTAATTAGGAGGTATTTCCCTTTTGAAAAGGCTCATAGTTTAAGGGTTAAATACCCATTTTGGAGGACTTTCAAAGAGCTCCATCCGAGTTGAGAGGCTCTAGTCCGACTCTACATGCATCATGAGGTAGGCTTCCTTTTCTTTAATTAAGCTTTAATTATGTAACGTCCCATTTTTCCTGTGTTTCAATAGTAATTTACCGGTCTGTGAATAGTACCACCAGTCCGGAAGTTGGTATTATTTTTTGTCCGGAAAAATTACTATTTAATTATTTTTTGTCCGGAAAAAATTACTTATTTTATTATTTTATATTTTATTTAACATTTTCTGAGCATGTAATAGCATGCTTTTTTATGGTAGTAGAAGTAAGTAAGGAATTATTTTTTGAGGGTGTTAGGATATATATAGTGAATTAGTGGAGATTATTGGGTAGTATAATTTGTTATTGTTGTGTAATTTGAAATTTTTATTTTTTTACAATGGAACGGGTGTGTGTGTGATATGAATTGTGTTATGGGAAAATTAGGAACGAGTTTGTGGAGATAAATAAAAATTTTGAAGGAATTTAACATTTGGAGAGTATTTGGAGAAAAACAAAGACACTTCAAGTTTGAAGGAAAAGACCAAAAATAGCCCTTAGTTTAGCTGGTTATTAAAGCAATATCAGTTATTGGACACACTTTGTCCTTTCTTTCTCAGCGGTTCCTACACGTCGTCCACTTCCTCTTTTTCTGTCGCTTCTCTTCTTCATTTTCTTCATTCTAAGCTAGTAAACAAACATCAAATTCTCACACCCGATGTCAAACTTGGATTTAGAGTCATCAATCTAGAGAGTGGAAGCTGAGGAGGAAGTAATTGTAGGGACAATGCTTAAGAATTTCTTGGGTGATTTTTCCTAACTTGGGTCAAGTAAGTGATTTTTCTAATGATATTGCATTATTTTTTGGGTTTAAGAGTTGTTTTAGGCAAACAGCTAATCATGTGCAATTACTTCTTTTATTTGTTTTTCTCTTGTTTGATTTTGAAGTTTTTTTAACATGTAGAGGGTGAGAGCCTTCTAAAAAAGGGATAGAAGACCGGTGAAAGGGTTGAGGAAGCTTTGATTAATGTCTGTTAAGCTTATGTTTTTGAAGGTGTTATGTGTTCAGTGGAGAACACACTTACTTTATGAAAGTTTTTGAATTTTGTGGCCTTATGCATTATGTGTATATGTTGAGATTTTTTTATGAAATGATATGATTTGTTGAATTTTTGGTTGCCATTATGCCTCATTGGATGATGTATTGATGGAGTATTTAGTGTTGTGTAGACATTTCTACATTTGTATCTTTTTGTGGGTTCATGGTTTCTTTCAATGGCTTAAAGTAGAACTGAATGTTGTGGAGAGAATGAGTTGTTGAGTGAAGATTTTAGGACCTTTTTACATAATCTTTCTATTGCCATCTGGTGTCTGATCGGTCATAGGTGTTGAGAGGGTTCTAATCTG